AATAACATACAACTAGAAGCGAAACATTTGTTTAAAAGCTTTCAGCTTATCTCCATTTTTGGATATAAGATAATTACATTTAAATGTAAATAGAATTTGATTTAAAATGGTTAAACGTATAACATAACGTTGCATTACTTCTGCTTATTTTATGTTGGACATAAAAGAGCTCAGTTAAAACAATAACTGAATGTTAATGCAAACACAGAAGAGATTAAGATTAACCCACATGTAGGCCAAATAAATTATTTGAGCTCAAAATGTTAGGGCCAAGTCCAATGAATGGTACAAGGATTTACTTACAATAACGAGTGTTGTGTAGTTGGAGTTTACGACTTGGATTACGAACCCTGTTTGAGCGTTTTATGTGTCTCATTCATTAAATAAGAAAGATATGTCGCAGGAATATAGTTGTCATATTGTTGTTACGAAATACAGGTATGATATATTTCTTAAAATGTTATCAACATTTGTTTATGAATATATAACCTATGTTTTTTTTTATAATTCACATGTTTATTAAGAAGTTTTGATATATTATATGAGGGGAAAATTACAGGAATAATTTTAAAAAATTAACATTCATACATTCATTCGTTTTTAGTTATGCTAGTTAAGCCAGATTAATTTCAACAAATGTTATATTGGATACAATAATTAAGAGAAAATAAAAATATACTAGACAGACTTTTGCATTACAGCTCCACAGGAGCCACTTTTATTACACACGTTTACCAGAAAGATTGAGAACGTTATTACAGAAATCGAAGAAATGAAGCATTTGTGTTTGTTACGTAAAATGAAATTGAAATAGCGGCTTCATTAAAATTTACGAAACGCTTTACAATTTTACAATTTAGTCAATAAAATCTTTAATAATTTTTTTAACTACTTTCTATATTATTTTATAACTACATATATGAGTGCTAATGTGTGTAATATGTTACGTGATAAGAAAACGATGTTTTTTAATATTTATTTGCTACAGTTAAACACTTATGGTGTCATACAGTTGTATATTTTATTTGCACTAGGAAAACATTGTTTTAGAAATTGTCCCTTCCAGGTACGCGGAAGGATTACGTGAGACGATGAATCTCACGTAACCTGCTAGAGTGGTCGTGACATCTTGCTGAATTACCCCCAATTTCGATTCATCTCTTCTTTCTTCCTTATAACTTTTTTGAGAACAACTCAACACATTGCAAAAATTTTATTACTGATTTCTTTGTCGATTTATGAAAATTATAAACAGGAGCTCAGTGCTAATGATGTGTGTTTAAATTAAATAAATTTTATCATTTTCCTAAACAATTCCAACCTTAATCTCGTTGAACATTTGGTCGTAGAGAATTGTTCAACATAACCATTGCAACTGAATTTAGCCATTGGCCCCAGGTCCTTGACCTCTTTGAATTTGAGGGTCTGGAATCCCTGATGAGTGCCTTGACTGTAATCCATATTCGGCTCATCGAGTTGGCCAATGAACCCCCTTAAAGGTCGTGGTTCTAATTCTTGATTTTATTCATGACAGAGCAAATGTTCAGTTGTATTTTTATATTTACTTCCGTTTTAATATTTTTATTGTCAAATCCAACACAACCTAATAATTAAATAAACAAGAAACACACAGAAGAGGTGTATTATTTTTTAATTTTGGATTTATGGCGAAAATAAAAAATGTATGTCCTAAATTGTTATATTTATAACATGTAAAAGAAAAAATATGACGAATGAGTATAATTTTGTCGCAAAGGCTTATACACGATCTTAGGGGATAATGTAGAAAGGACGGCACTTTTTTATATTATTTTTTGCAAAATCTCTTCGTAAATGAGTTAGAAACAGAAAAGGACGACTTGGTTTTCATTTTTCTAAACTGGATATACTCGTATGTAAATCGAATATAACTGGCTTTCATAATGTTCAATAATGTACTTAAAATTATTTTGTTATTCTTATGTTTCAAAAATCTTTTCGTTCCCAGAACTGACTTACAATTATGTACAAAAATACTTTCATAGTCTTTATTGATAAATTAAGGATAACAGACATTTATATATATTTCAATGATTAAAATACTGTTTTTGAGTCAATTCTTTGTGCATATGTATGTATGTACATATTTTATTAAGATTTTATACTCGTTTGAAAACTATATCACAATATTTTACGTAATAATTTTTATCAGCAAATGCTAATTATATCAAACTGTAATTAATAAATATGAAGATAGAAACTCAATACTTCAAGGCTTTATATAACCATTGTTGTTAGTTTCGACACAAGCTTATTCGGGATTATATTATAACTTTATTAATTTTGACTGAATAAAACTATTTGCTTGGTAACTTAATATACCGAGAAAGTTTGAAGGATCTGTTATGTAAGCTAATATGCTACAAATTATTACATGATACTTTGATGTTTATATATATACATTAAAATATAATTCAATATACGTTAAGTACAAAATTATAATTTTTTTTTGTTATTCGGTTCAGTGTCTATGAACAAAGTTTAACAGAAAAAATGTTAAAATTTCAATTAAAGATATAATTTCACATATAATATAAAATATAAGTTTTGACAGTCACTTTGCTGTCATATGCTTCGGAATTGTTCTCCAGAAAAATGTTGAGTGGCTAATAACAAACAGCATCCAATAAAACTGGAATGCCGTGATATTGCGGGACTTTTAGAAATTTGGAAATTAATTATAGCATATGTTTATATTATTCTAATGCCTAAGTCACATAAAACCTAATTTTGAAAAAAAGGGACTTTATATGTGACTAAGGCATCAGAATAACATAGACATCTGCTCTTATTGATTATAGCTTACATAACAGAAAAAACAAATCTTCCCAAAAACGAAAAAAATAATCCATTTGTAATATTAGAAGGCTTGACATCAAATTGTATTAAATTTTTGTTATAAGTCCATCATCCAAATTAGTGTATTTCTTGTGAATTTCGTAATTTAATTCAGACATACTCACTTTTAATTTCCATGATTATAAATACCTATTCTCTAATGATTCCGATAAAAAAATAATACAATCGTAAAACTCCATCACACTTTTTTAGTATCGAGATTCCTTGCTCTTATAAAGTTTTCGCAAGAAATGCTTAAACTTGTGACTCAAATTACATTGTTCTCACCCTTCGTATATTTTATTTACATCCATCATTTTCAAAAAGATTTCTTTCCTCTTTGATAATAATTCGTTTGGCAATTAAGATCATAAGATGGAATGAATTTTATTTCTCTTATAGAGTAATTACATTATGTCCATGTCGTAGCTAGACCATAATAAACTGTTATTCCAATAGAAATAAATTTTAAGGATTATGACAAACGAACAATGACTGTAGATTTCAACTTAAATTAATAATGTAGTAGTTTGAAATTTTGATGTTTTCAAATGTATTGTTCGTTTTAAGCAACTTTTAACTAAAAGACTGGTAATAGAAAACAATTCAATTTCAAAAAACATTCATAATATTTATTTACATTAAAGCTAGAAATAATATTTGAAAATATTTTATTTATTTTAGAAAACTAGAATCGTGTGAATACGCTGTGTATAGTGAAGTTAATTTTCTTTGTTAACGAACAAAGTATATCTGACAAAAGGTTTGTTGTCCACAAAACATGACTTTGATTAAAGACAGGAAGAACAAAGGCTGCTTCTTCTAATATAAATATCTTTAAATATGACGTAGAGACAACAATACAATAATTCTAGTCTACTTGTACGATTGTCTTAGAATTCACATATAAATTTTTCACCTCTAGAATTTTACTTCATCTAAAATAATGTTATGTAAATAATGCTCTTACAGATAGTACATATTAAGAATTGATATGCGTCCCCAAATGCTATGAAGCTTAAGTTATAGCTTCTGATTTTATTTAGTCACCCATTCAGAGTTAGACTTTACTAAATGATAAGGTATTACTGTAACCAGCACATAAAACAATAGAAAAAAAAAATAAATTGGTTAATATCTATTAATATATATTTTTACGATAAAATAATAAATGACAATAAAATATAAATATTGTTAGAGAGAAGTTTGAATAGGAACAAGTTCGAAATTAACATCTGAAATTAAAGGCAATAAATTTCCCAATTCAGCTGTTTAAATGTTATGATAAAAGTCGTAAATTGTAATGAATGTATTGGAGTTCTGATAATGGACACAATTTTGTGATCGTAGTTGTATATTAGAATTGAAATAATATGTTTCATCGGGTCTATATAAAGTAAGGTTGGGGTTTAAGAAATATTTGTCTTCTCTTTGGCTTCACCTAAAGCTTGATTCAGTCACCGAATATGGGTATTCCAATGAATATCCTCATCCGAAGGGCTGTGGAAAATTTACCAATGATATCAGTGTCATACCATCCAAGACTTCTACTAACGCTTCCACGATAGTGAAGGAATATTTCAATACGTCAAGTCACCGTTTAAACGATGAAAGACCGACATGAGCTCGATTATTTTAATTATTCAGAGTTCTATGAATGAAACAAAAATTGAGATGAATATTTTATATGATGAATAAAGTCAGTTAGCTCTTTGTATACTTTAACCTTTAACTAGGGACGTGATAAATTGAGAACACTATAAGGGACATGTAGTCTCACAGGCTACTACTTTTAAATTTAAATTTTGTCATAAAATTGCGTTATAATGATTTAAAATGAGTTGATATTTATTTATTAGAATGTAACAAAACAAATATAAATTAATTCAATCAGTTTTTATAATCACTTTAAATACAAATGATAATAATTAACACTTAATTGTACTTTTCAGCCTTAATTGACATAAGATCCTTATTTTAATATTTTAATAGACCTTACATAAATGATATGATAAATGTAACTCTTTTTATGAAAACTTAAACAATACTAAGATAAAAAAACATAAAAGCTTCTTCTGAAAATAAAACATAAAAATTCTGACACATACTCTTTTTGGCATAAATCATTGGCAATTTTTACACAAGGATCGAGAACATTGCAAACATACGGGATTGCAACAGAAGACACATGTGTACACAGTCATTCTGTGAAGTTTAGGCGGACAAATACTGCATGCCTTTCGCTTGCCTTTACTAGTTTGAGGACTTTGGACATCTTCTTCAACCACATCGTCAGCCAGAACTCGTTTTATCACTAGGCGTAACTCCCTTGGTAATTGCCTGCACCCAACACGTCTTTGCAAGTGGGGTCGCACTAGTGAACGGGCTAATGACTTTAGAAAATCTCCTCTATCTATATTTTTAGGCTGATGCATATTATATAATATATAAGCATTCATGCCGCTCAAGTCCACTATGCGGTAGAATACCACCATTGGCCACCTTCTCGTTTGGCGGCTGCTGGAATAAATGGAGCATTTTTTATCTGCTTCATCTACTTCATCATCAAGTCGACGGCTGAAGTCCACGTTTCCTAGCGTTTTCTACCATTTTGCACTAAAAACAAGAAAATTGTTCGAAAAAATATGTATTAGACAACTAGGGACATGTAGCCTCACAGGCTACAATCGAATTTCAAATTACAATTACGAACCTGTTACGTATCTGACGGCACGTCTGATCTCTTCTATGGTCGTTTAGGAACTTAAACAAAAGCTACTGAAACGCCGGGTCGCGGCAAGCGGGGGGAAATCATCAATTCTAAGAATTTACCAAACACACGACGCCTGTGAGACTACACGTCACTAGTTAAAGGTTAATGCACTTAATTTTTAGACTAAAGTTTATGATCTACCTGAACCTGAAGAGTAATTAGCGACAAAATCAAAAAGAGATGGCACTTTTACGTCACTTTAAAGCGTAGAGATTGTGATTAGAAGTTGGACATGACCAGCTTGAAGCAATTATTATAAGAAAGTTAAGTGAATAGTGGCTTTCAAAGATGGTTATAAAATTTCAATCGTTGAATTTTTTCATACTGTAGTCATTTATTGTAGAATGTTTTGAAAAGCTTTTCGAATACAATTATTTTTTACAAAAATAGCAACCAAACGAACTAAATATGAATAAAGAAAAATTCTAAAAAACATAACAAAAAATATCGCAAGTTCAAATCTCGAGTGCTCCTCTGGACGTGGTTATTTCCAAAACACATTACAAACATTTTATAACTGCAACGAAATTATAAATTGCTATTTCAGATCTCTATAACAAGAAAAGTTTTTGCAATATCTACTCATTGTGCTCAGCAACACAATGCAGAATATAAGTTTTAAATGGTTTGCTTAAGAACGTTTACGAGTATGCTTCTTTTCTATAATTTAATTTTATCATATTAAGAGATCAATAATAGTTCTAACAGAGTTAATATAATTTATTTCAAAAGAGCAATTAAATAGAAAGAAAGATCACAATAATATTGTTTTATTATTTCGTTATTAACTAACTTTTTTCTATTATATCGTCACAGCATTACAGCTACCTGTAAGTCTAAATCAAATTACAGACAAGACAATTCTGTGATTTTGATTCAATAGCGGGAGTTGCCTTTTGCAGGTTTATTTTGGACACAAAGGAAATGAAACCTTAAGTGCCGAAAGTGAATGTTAAATCAATTGTAGATTTCAATAACAAACCTTAATACATTGACTTATGGCCTACCACCGTAATGTATTTTTAATATATAGAAATGTAACTATTGTTTATATTAGTGTTATGTACCGATTATTGAGCCTCTAATATACATAACAATAGGATAACAATTCCATAACCAAATAATACGTTTATTTGTATTTCTACATATTGGTTTAATTTTTTGTAAATAAATATTACTTATTATGAATTCTTCTTAAGTTTGCATAATGGAGTTCAATATAATAAATAAATAGTATCCTAAGTTTAATTAATTCCTTGTTTGGGAATTTAAAATAATTTAAACTTATAGAGCAAATAGTGTTTAAATCGATAAAGATTACATTTATTTAATCTGTTATATATATTTGCTATAAAGGTCGGCATAATATCGCAAATACACAGTATGATATTTTTTACTAACTATAAAAATACACAATGCTATGTACACTATAAAAATAAATAAATCTCAAGATGAGTTGTGTATAGCTTTCTTATACTGAATGTTTAAATAATTGTTTACAATTTAAAGTAATGTTTAAAGAAATATTATAAACAGATTTTTAATAGTGCTTAAGCAAAGAGTGAAACTTTGACATATTTATATGGATTGGCGTAATAAACCCATGAATAAAGTGTTGAAGGTTGTGTTTATAGAATATTATTCTAGTGTTATGTTTTGATGTAGGAATGTAACATGGGAATAATTTAAAACAAAACACAGTTCCGGTCTCCTTCAAACACAATATAAATTTGAATGCTTTGTTTCCTTTGGGAATGTTCTAAAGCTGCAGTTGAAATTGCAGAAACTTGATAGTGACTAAGCATGTGCAGTTGGCCAAATGTAATATCACAATATTTTGACATGGAAGTACATTTAAAATAACGAAACTTTTGATGCTGCAACATATCTAGTTCATGATTAAAAGTGGGAAATATATATTAGCAAAGTTAGACTTGATCTTAAAGTTTGGTATCTTTATAATATATTACAGACTGTTAATTTATATATTTGCGGAACTTATATAGCTGCAGAAAACGTTGACTTACTTAAATTGTGGTGAAAATAGTGCTAATTTATAGTTCAAAGTAATCTAACAGCAATAAAACTAAGTTAGTCTGCGGCTGTGGAACCACTGCACCGAATCAAACCGCTAGTGAACTGGTATATTCATAAGTTATAAGCGATTTCTATATAGTATCGATGGTAATTATGATAGAAGTTATAAATAAATACACAGTAATTCATGCAATATTATTAGTTTTATTTAAATCGTAGTATTTTATGAATGAGAATAGTAAAGTAAATTATTATAAGGGCGTTTTATAAATTCCTAGAAATTAATGAGTTACTCTCTCGTGAAAAGCACTCGCTATCCTTTTGTGAACTGCCAACAAATGTATTAAATGAACTAAATGTTTCGCAACTGCGCGAGTGAGATTAGAACCAAGTTTGGGCCTCTCACGTGTGCCTTGCTTAATTCAAGTAACACAAATTATGAACATGCCGTATAATATCCAAAAGGTCTAACTCAAAATGGGTTTTACCTTAATAATTTGCTTAAAACTAAAATCTTTACTATCATAGAAACTATTATTACTAATTTTACTGATTACAGTGTAATAATTCATTATACTAAGTCCTGATAAAGACCATGAAAGTAATTTTTCTTTTCGTGTAAGAAGCAAAGTAATGGTTTTCTATATTTAATTTAAACCCAGAATTAGTCCTTTAAATTCTTTCAAGTTTTTACAGATGTATTTTTTATATTTAAAAAACTTATTATAGCACATTATGATTTAAAATTATTTTTATTTATGCTTAAATGGTAGATCTTATATATCTGACGAATTGTTAAATGCTTTCGACGTTGGCTGACTTCCAGTAAATGAGATGCACTCGTTCAGCGACAATATGAAATTGAGGTCATATCAAAAATATTTTTTTAAAGCGCGATACTCAAGCGATTGTGGTATTATACTAAGAGTTTATTCGAAAAATATTAAATGGATTGGTATGATTTCTTTTCTATACAGTACATAAACAAGAGTCTTAAATGTATCTAAAAATACAGAGGCCATTACTAATGATATTTATGTCAACATTACAGAAATGAAGGTTGAAGTATTTAACTGTACTTACTGTATATTAATTCAGTATTTCGACGATCATTATCTAAAAAAAAAATAAAAATTTTGGTATTATAATACTTTATGTAATCAATTTTATTTTTTTACAAAACACATTTATATGCATTGTATTTATTGTTTGTAAAAGAGCATTCAACCTCACGTTACGAATTTAGAAACTTGTTCCTTTTTTAGTTTTGTTCCAGATTCATTTAAGAAGCTTGCAGAACACAGAAAAAAACGAAATATATATAATTTCTTCAACGCCATTTTATTAAAAGCATAACCAGATGTAATTGAAAGTAAACAAAGAAACCCATCGAAGCCAACTGATATTTTAACATGATAGCAACGAACAATAGTTGTAAGACCTTTTTGTATAAAATAAATCGTCCTTCCATCAAAAGAATTCGATGGTCGAAGGCATTTTACCACTTCAAGCTGAGATAAGGGTGCTCCTATCCCATTGCGTATAGTGTAATGAAATTTATTTTATGACAGCAAACAGTCTGAGCCGGTCAGAAGGGACTTCCATAGTGACTGTAAATAGACACCTTTTTTTGAATTAGTTTCATATTACTACAATCACATTTCTATTTTCTTTTTAATGTTTTCCTAAAGAAAAATATATTAAGATTTTATTTATTCATAAAGTTATTCTCAATATTTCAAAGAACTAAAATTGCTGCTAAAGAAGAGTGATTTAAAAAGGCTAAGGGTCTTCATTCAACTGACACAGTTTCTGAAGTATACTTTGTAGCTAATAGCATACATAAAAATACATTTTTATTTTCAACTAAAAATATATAAGAATATTATAGCTGGTATAGTCAGTATTGTTAACAAAATTATAAATTTATTAATAAAAAGAAAGTTAACGTTAAAAAAACTTAGACTATTGAATCTTACAAGTATTTGTATACTAAACAGTGTGGTATCATATTCATATTGTTATATATATAATTTATTGAAAGATTCAATCGATTTTATGACTTTTTTTATGTTCAATTGTTAAACTGAATGATATAAAACTTAAGTCTACCTCTAGTGTACTTTTTACGCCAATCGTTTAATAGAATTGAAAGGAGAAATAAAAATGCTATTCAAAGAAATACAGATGAAGCAATAAATTCTAAATGATTGCCTCGATTTAAGAATAATAATGTTCGACGTATCGATGATTTTTTTACTTTATTTTGATCCATAAAAGGAGGACGGACGTTACCATATAAATGCTGGTTTTTTTCAATATTTATATTTTAAAGTCCTTTCTTTTTTTTTTGCCGTTTTTCAGACATTTGATGTCGTTCTATCCTTGGAACTATATTTTATATTATGAATTTCGCAGGAAAGCTTTAAGACTGTGCTAAAGCCTCACAATAAATATTATAGAGGGTAAAGAAATTATATTTAGTGATTATTTATTACAACTTTCTAGCACCAATGTTTGTTGGAGACCAATAATTTTAAATATTATAATGTAGTATTGATCAAGATATTGAGATAACTTTTAAACTATATGAAATATAAAATATATACATGGCTTTAATATGAATAAAAAAAATTACATCTACCGTGTAATGATCTTAGAAAAAAGATAGAGTGTAACCACAGA